TATATATATATATATATATATAGCACCAGCAAAAAGTTGTGACACACTTACTCATAGAAGGTTTATTTGTAAAATTGTCGAATCAACATTTTTGAATAATTATAAGGACATCAACACTATAAAATAATGGAAAATATATGGAATTATGCACCGACCAAAAATGTAATAAGCAAAATGTTGAATTTGTTGGGGGGGTTAGGGTCAGCAATGTGGGTTGTTACGCAGAAGAAGGTCCTTGGTTCGAATCCCTGGGTCGGCAGAATGATCCCACCATTGGGCCCTTGAACAAGGCTCTTAATCCCAAATACCCCAATTGCCCCAGGGACTGGCTGCCCCTGCTGTCTCCTCCACACCAGTTCCATGAGGTGCCTCCTGGGATGCTTTCCCAGCTGCCCTGAAGGAGGTCCCACATATGCTGAGCTCTCATTGGCCACTTTTTCTTCACTTTCTGGTCAGACTTCTCCAAAACCATTTCTGCTGTGTTTGGGTCAGGTGACCGGGTGATGTGATGCAACACTATCTCTCTCTGTAGGAGATTTGGTGTGTCCAAATTTAGCAGGTAGTGTGCATGTGTGCGTAAGTGTGAAACACATAGTTGTGTACACAAAGAGGATAAAATTATGTCAGCCCCGCCTCCATTCTAAAGTAACCCAATTATGCTTTCTGCAAAAGAAACCATATTTCAACCCTCCAGTTATAAACTGAGAGCAGACAACAGCTATTAAAAGAGGAAAGGTCAAAGGTCACCATGTTCTGGATTCAAAAATTAGAAAGAGCCAGATTTTCATTGCTGCGCTGTCAGTAGGAACACTTTGGGCCTGAGATCTTACTGGGGTAACAATGATGTCTATTGTATTTCAACGGTTCATAAAAGTATATCAGTCTGATTTGTTCAAAACAAATATATCATGTATATAGATACTGTTGCCTTAATTCTTGAATTTCACTACCTTGTGAGGAACTAAGACCATCCACCGACAGCACGAAGTTTACATTAACACCTTACACATGCAGTGATTTAACACATGATTGTTACTACAACACAGCACTGCAGTACAACTGGGGCATGGATCTGCCACACAGATGCTGACAGCAATGAAACAGGCGCAGAACCTAAAACCCCTTTGCATGATTCACTAAGCATGAGGTCAGGTGGTTGGCATTATGGTACTGGGGTGTCAGGAGCGATTCAGTCCCTGACAGTCGGGACAAAATCCCTGAACATTAAGACTGAGAGAAACCAGATCGTGTGAGAACACATAACACTCCCATTTCGATTTCTAAACTAGCTCCTAAGTAAGTGAATATCAGGTGCTGAACCCCACGTCTGTTTTTAACACTTATGGACTGACAAATTTGCAGTTTAAGTGCTACATACTTTCTGTTACTTCTCTCATCTGCTACGCTGTAGATCACACACATAAAGCCGTCTCCTCTAATGAAACGCCGATGTTCTTCTGGAAAGGTAAAGCACGCATGCTTCATACCCATTTTCCCCCCAGCAGTCGGTTGTGTAAAACACTTGGCAGCAATGGCTGTTTCCCTTCGCAATTAACGCCACAAAAAGCCCCCGGAGCTGGGTATTAAGCTCAGGCACGCTGCTGACAGCGGCGGCTGCGATCGCATCAAAGCGCCCGAAGTCAAACCCTTTAGTGAGCAGCGGGACCGGCGGCTATGAAGAGGGAGCGCAGCCTACCGGCGGGGAAAAAGGTGTCAAAAGCTAAATGCACAGGGAAAGACCAAAGAAATGGAAAAGGGAAAGACAAAAACCTGGAGAGAACGGAAAACGACAGTACATGGAATACACAGGCACAGACACGGCCATGTTAATCTAATAATCTTACTAGAGGGAAATTATATACAAGGTCTGTCGGATAACTTTAAATCCAAACACTTCCTTAAACCCATTTTAGCGTTTTTCATTGTTTTCATGCAGACGCTACGATTCAGAGAAACAGGCAGGTATACGTGTGAACTTTGTGGTCTGTATTTATAAATTTCATTAGTACTTATAGCGCTGACATTTTGCTTTGAAAAATAACCTAAAATTAAATTGTGGTTCAAGTGTCATGTTGCGTAAGGTTAAAACGTTCGCCCGCATGTTTCCAACAGACCAAGCATGTAATGTCTGTGATACTTAATCGTTTCTTGTTTCATGCATATTTCCACTTATACATAAGACAATCGAAATATACAGTGGGTCAGATACCGTACCTTCTGGTTTAGACAGTATAGGCTACATCTTAAACTTAATATTACCGTCTTCTATCCAGTAATGTATCGAAAGGTAAGTCGCAAATATTATAATGCACGCGTTACTCTGATTTCAAAAGCTCTAAAAATTGAATTAATAAGTTTGAAAGAGCAGGGTCTTTTGTCTAACAGGCAAACAGAAGCCGAAGAGGCTTCCCAGCGCGTTTTTCTCCGACTTGTTTCTCAGCTAACGATGTCTCGTTTTATGCATACATAACCCTACATACGCAACACAAAACACAAAAACTCAATTAAGATGCCTTCTGAATGCTAGCAGTGGTAGTTTAGTTGAACTTGATTGAACACGGTAAGGCAATACTTTAGTATTCTCCAATCTAATAATCAATTACAGGAAATTAAGTTACATTGTAACTCATCTAAAACAATAAAACAATCGATAATATTACTCACTGCCTTTCTTGTGAATAACTTTCAGTGACAATACAGATGTAAACAGTCAATGAAAGAATCCATGATGCTCGGCGGAACTTCGCCACTTTCATTGTAATCTTCACTTGGACGTAGCGTGGGACGCCGCAACTTCTCCGTTCTCAAAGGCGCCTGATAATAAGTGTTATAAAGGCGAGACGCCGAGGGGTGCTGAAGCGCGCGCTGCGCTGAAGCGTGTTTGGAAGAAGCGAGGGAAAGCGGCCGCTCGATTCCCCCCTTGTGTCAGCGAATATGCGTCAAGTTTTACCCCACTTTGAGAAATCCTGTTCCTTGCAGGTTTTTTGGTAAGCTTAACTTCACTGAACACACACACACACTGTCTCCCCTTTGGCGTGCCCGATTCACCCGCCTCAGTTTCGCTCTCTCATATTTCAGCATTACAAATTATTTGCGTCCACCCCCACATGTTCCTCTATATAAAACAAGTGATGTATTTCTTAACAGCCTGCATCTCCTGCTCGTGGAGACATCATTCTGTTTTCTTTTGCAGGCGATCTCCTCTTTGAAGTTTCTGAGCTTTTGATCCTACAAATGGTACGAGCTGGTATCGCGGCTCGTTTCCCCTTCAATCCGTTCCTTCCTAAACTGCAAAACACCTCTTTTCTGCGCCTACACTTCATGCGAAGTGACCACTCGCAAAGTGAAGAGTTGATTTAAGTTGATCAATCAAATCAATTATCGCTTTTAGCCACCGCTTGTAGTTAAGTACAGGGTATATAACAGAATACATTTGTTTGCGTTTAAAGCGAATACAGAATAAATAACTGAAAATGACAACTGTATTTCGTTCAATTGTGCATTTAATAATAATCTAAAAGACTTTGAGAGAGATCAATTACATTACACAATATAGTGACAGTTCAATTCATACTTAAAATTAACTGCAATTAACATCGTAGCAGAATTTAAGAGCGGTGTTGTGATTCGTTATTGAGGACCACAATTTCGTTCAAATACAGATCTATGGCACCATCACGTGGCCGAAGAGCATAGCATTCGGTCGCGCTCACAAATAAACTGTATATTTATTTGACATTAAATCTCGTCTTTAGGACTCGCCGGTCTTTTGCTTTCTTGTGTGTGTGTGTATTATATTAATATTACATTGTAGGGACATTTTTCACGTCCCCACAAAGACATAATTACAAACCTGTGTGTTTGTTCATATATATATATATTGCAGGGACATTTTTCACGTCCCCACAAAGACATAATTACAAACCTGTGTGTTTGTTCATATATATATATATTGCAGGGACATTTTTCACGTCCCCACAAAGACATAATTACAAACCTTTGTGTTTGTGTTCATATATATATATATAAAAACTAAAATTACTCGACATTTGCTAATAAGTGTTTCATAAGAATGAAATGACGTCCAGGACAAAGAGGAGACTCAACACCATCTCTTACTCAGCTCCCTAAAATGCTTACGAGTGTACTAACTCGACCGGGTGCCTCAGTTCATCGTAAGCACTTACTTACAGTAGGTAACAGAAATACAGTGGATTGACATAAAGTACCTACCACCAAACATACTGCATAATTTAAGGTGAGCACGAAAGTTAATAGTCCATAACGTTGAGTCATGGACCTTTTTACAGAACCTGAGAACATATATTTATGTTTGGTGCAATGCTGGAGACAGAAAAAAACCCTTTCAAGCTGTGAAAAAAAATGACATTTTACTTCCTCTTGTAAAAAGTTCTAGAGGAACACCTGTGCCCTGCAGCTTCTTCATAAAGTCACGCGCCGTCTCTCACCTCAGCGCTTTTCATAGAGGTGCAGATCGCTATGTCCTTATTTTTATGAGCTTCTCAATGTGAATACAGGGTGACCAATTTCATACACTCAGGGCTGAGCCCCTGTTTGAATCTATACTTCCTGAAATTATTGCCATCCTAATTTGAATAATGGACACTTAAATAAACCAGAAAATCCCGAGAGTATCATTACTTAACTTTTCATAGTTACCCAATGTATCCATCCATTTTCCCATCCATCTTTTAAACACTTATCCAGTACGGAGTCACAGAGCATTTCTTAGTTTAGCTCCAGGGGTGCCGCCAGAAATCTTGGGCCCCATGAAAGATTAGAATTTTGCCCCCCCTCTTTTTGCAAAAAGGTAAAGCCCCTAACAGGGCCCCATGTCAGTGCTGGGCCCCTAGAATCGTTCTAACCTTTCCCCCCCTGGCGGCGCCCCTGTTTAGCTCAAAGAAATATTTTATGATCTCGGTTTATAATTGTGTGCAGTCAGTTTCATCACATCTAATCAATTTCTTCCTTTTCCATCATCCTTTAATTTTACCAATGAAAGTAATTCGTGCTACTTTTCACTTTTATCCAGAAATAGAAGAATTCTCACTGGATCTAATTGGTAAAGTAAAATATTATATGCTTTTGAGGACTACAAACTACTATAGGCCTGAGTAAAACTTCATCATTATCAATGCTCAGGGATATATACACATCTATTACTTCTATACTTGTTTCTTTGTCATCTTGAGATTGAAGCAGACCTTTCAAACCAAAGCCCTCTCATCGTTTAGCGTCAATTTCGACTTCCGGCCTGATCATCTAAGGGTCTTGTCTGGACGGATGACCTCGGTACTCCTAGTTGCCTGGCTATGGCACCTAGAGAGGCTCCCCGACTTCTGCAGCTGTATTATTGTTGTTGTTCTTAGGTCTTCAGATTGTTCTTTTCCTATTCCCATGTTGGAACAAGAAGAAATGAAGCATTAGCAGGTAACTCTGGTCCTTTATACAGCCCTGGTTGCACCACCTGAACTATTACAAGTTAATTGCAATCAAGAACCAATAGGACACACATGAAAAGCATTTGGGGATAATCCACGCTGTTGCAAACACAAAAAAGCACCAGATCACCCTGGTGTGTGTAAACTTTTGACCTACTAATTTTGTAGCTTCATTAACTGAGCTACGGATAAAACCATTGAAAATGAAAGAGCTGTTGAAATCAGTCATGGAAATAAAAGAGTTTGGTTGACATTATTATAGATATAAATAGAGTAGAATAAAATACTATGTTACCACGTTCATAAGTGACTGTAAAAAGTTATTACAAATGTAACTTGAAGAGAAGAAAAAACTATATTGCACATTATCGTGAATGGTTCTATTGCACATGTTAATAATTCAGTAGAATGAGCAGTATGTGAAGTATAAGTATATTGCACTGTAGAATCTTAGTTCTATTGCACATGTGGATAGACTCCAGTAGGTTGACGTTTATATAAATTAGGGAACATACAGTATATTGCACTGTATCATAGATAGTTCTATTGTATCTGTTAAATTGTCATCAGCTAAGGCATTGCATGTTGGTTATTGGACTGTTTTGTAATTGTAGCAGCGGTAAATTATTGAGCGCATTGTTGCGAGGATGCATGACGGAGGGCGGAGTTGTAGAGTCTGGTTTGCGGTGGGGAGGAAGGATTTTCTGTGGCGTTCAGCTCAGACACCACATTGTGTAGTGGCCGATAGTCATAGACACAGATTGTGTGATACTCTATTTCTAATTAGTTGTTGTACATTATATGATGTCATTTGAAAGTGTGATTTGCATCTCTGAGCATTGCTGAATAACACTCCTTCTCCTTTTATGTGATACTTGGCTAAGAGTTGCTGCATGATATTCACACACACCTGGCTCATGTTTGCTGAGACTGAGCGTCACCTTTACACAAACAGAATGAAGTGCCTGGGTATGTATTTCATGGGTTTTTTTGCAGTTACTCAGAGATGTCAGGAATATGAGTTCCTCCCATGCACTAATTGCAAGCCTGGATGATAGTATGGCGGGATTTTCTACTGATGTTTTATGGATGCTCACATTACCCAAATGCTTAATCCCAGTGGCGTCTTTCAGGACTTGTCCAAGGTTGAACCTTATAAAAAAAAAAGTCAGACTAGAACTAATGTTTATTTTGCCACCTTCAAAATTCACCATTTTCCCACTTTATGACAGACTGGTCAAATTCTAACTGTGGAATGTAAAAAAAAAATCCCTTTTTGCCAAAGGTTAAAATCCTGTATAACCGCCCCGAAGCCAACTCAGTAAACAAGTCCAAACCCCAAGTCTCATTTCCTATGTGCTGTGGAGAGTGTTAGCTCATGTTGGCAGCTGTGATTTCTTCAGTGGTTTGCATTCAACGTGGAGGAATTGATAATGTTGATGGGCATGTTTTTGACAAGCCTGACATCAGTGATGTTACCTCACCCTACACTGTCAGAAAAAAGGGTACCGTTCTGGTACAGCTTTGCTCCCAGAGGTACAAATAACATTAATGTACCCCAAATTGTACAAAAATGTTCCTCAGAATCCATTTCTGTATACCGTAAAAGGTACATTTCCCTACAACTAAGGTACAATTGGCAGACCCTTGAGGGTGCAGCCCCAGTGACAAGTAATTGTATCCTCAAAGGTACGAAATGGTACTTTTTTCTGACACTGTAGACTACAGTCATCTTCCAGAGATACAGAAGGCTTGGGAAGAAGTCTGCATACAGAACTAAGGGCAGAAACCCATGCAGGATTCTTGGAACTCGGGAGTTCCAGGCTCCCGAGGCTAGCAGAGCTTTCTGTGATTGTGTGTCAGGTACTATTTCATCAGGGATGAGCATGTGAAAGTAGGCGAGACACTTTGGGGAATATAAGGACTAGCAACTGCTGCTCTCCATAACTGACCAGTGCAAGATTCGCAGCCCAGATTTGTCACATACCCCATCTACCTTATGGCTCCCCATATCCTCCTTAAGCTGTACAATGAAAAATATTTTTAAGAAGCTTTTCCATTTCTCTGTTCTCTAAGGCTACTGTTTTTAAAATCCTGTTTCATCCCCTATCTACTGAATTTTAAGCTAAATCTATTGAAGTCTCTCAGGTAGCCCTGCAGTGAGGGAGCTGCTGCTCCTGGCAGCTACAATCTTACGTGATGCACCTTGTGCATATTAATTGTAGGGTGGGAGGGGACTGGTTAACGACCAATTGGGATGATGCACATCTCTGTTCCACGAACCCTGCCAAAGGCATGATTATTCTTGTGATCTTGGCCATAAAATGCCTGCTTTTTTATCTAGTCAATCAATTTTGACTACAGACTGATTTTGTCCATTTTCTTTCTCAGTCAAAGTAATTTTCATGTTTTTCGGTTAAATTGCAATCGTACTAATTAAATTAAACTAATTAAACTAAGTCAACTCTGATAACATTTATTCATTTTGCATGAGACTTTTTTGGGTTTTGTTTCGTCTGAATAAAAGCATATGGAAACATGCAGAAAAGACGAAACAATTCAAGCATTTCAAACCAGCTTCCCTAATATAAATGGTATATATGTGTACAAAGTACACGATGTAGGATCCAAAAGTATGGTAACATACGCATTTGAACAGAATGGATTTTTTTAACAAAATACTTTTATTTTCCATTGTGTGTCCATTAAATTCAAACATCCTGAATGTCAGCATTAATATTAAAACATAAATCTGTGTAAAAAAAAAACCCTTAATATAATTACAAGAGAGGAGGTCTAGGGAGAACCATGGAGGACGAGAGCCAGAGAGTGATCGCCCTGCTTCCTGTCCACCAGTTCGTAAGAGCGTGTGCTCTGCCTTTCGCCCGGTGGCGGCTCCACGTACGAGGCTTTGGAAAAGGACACGCGGTCTCCCGTCACGGAGACTCCACAGGCCCGGCACAGGCTGGCCGCCTGGGCGTCCTCCAGGGCCAGGAGTCGCGCTAGCTCCCGCAGCGGGAAGCGGCAATTGCGGCTGCTGTGGCCGTAGCTGTAAAGCAGCAGCAGGTGGCGGCGGCAGGCCTCTAGGTGGCGGTGCAGCGCGCAGCTCTGCAGGAAGTCCAGCCGCCGGGCCAGACGCAGGAGTCGCACGGGGTTGCGTTCCAGGTGGGCGCGGTTCACGGAGAGTGCCAGACGCACCGCGGGCGCTGCTCGCACCTCCTCCGGCAGCTCCAGGGCATGCTGCAAGGCACGGGTGGACCCTGGCGACACGGCAAAAAAAACAAAAGAGATTAAAGGAATGTTTATTATCATTCAGCAAAACACAGGGTAATGAGAATGGAATTTCTCTGGATACCTGCTGCAAGATGATGGCATGGGGTCATAAATAATAAGAACAATATATAAACAGGAAGTAATAAAATGTATACAAAATAACAGTAAAATGTACACAGTACACAACAAAGGACCCAAGAATATTGGTGCAGCAGGAAGTATACAGTAGTAATTATTATTGTATGTTTTCAAAATTTTAATACAATGTACATAAGTAATGAAGGCAGCAATAGTAGCAGTTATGATTTATGTCACGTGGCACAGAGTTATTCAGAAATAGTCAACAGCCTGACAGCACAAGGATGAAAACGGTTAGTAAGCCTCATAGCTGTGGCTGGATTAAAGGCAGACTGCATCAAAAATCTGCAGCTGGTCAAATCGCATGACTGAAAACAAAAAAATGCTTATTGAGATCACATGCAAATCAGAAAAACTGTCTGGAAAATGGCAGCGCAGGATGAGAACATGGTGCATTTCCCCAGACGTTGCTTGGGCTGCTGCCTTTGTTTTACTCACCCAGGTTGTAGAGCAGGCTGAGAGCCTGAAACTCCTCCTGGTGTGGGTGGTGCCCGACGCAGTAGCAGCTCAGCAGCCAGCTGAGGCTCTCCTGCAGGTGCGTGTCGTTTATCCGCGGGTCGTAGAGCCGCAGCGGCTCTTCGCAGAGCCTGTACGAGGCGTAGAGCAGGAAGCGTACGATCCTCTCCAGCACGGCCGCGCACTCGGGCCCAGACACCCGCTGGATGATCATGTCCTGACGGACGCTGCGCAGCCGGTCGAACACGAAGTCATACACCTGCAATGTAGACAGGGGGCCGGACTTCAGAGTGACGATACAGAGCAGCATCACGCCCAGGGGGGGCCCTTCTTTGTCCTTCCTGGGATAGACTCTGTCCTAGGTGGTGGATGGATGGATAATACCACTGGCCAACAATTTTTTATTTCCTTACTTCCTTTTTGTCACATAGGTGAATCTTACAGTATTTTTTTTTACACTGAAAAAAATGTCATATTATTTTTTTCATCAGAAATCTCCCGATGAGTGTCAAGACATGTTACAGCTTGTAAGCTCTGGAAATATAGACTTATAGTACTTTATGTCCTTCTGCAAAGTCTTAAATATGCTCACAACTTGAATAAAATAATTTCCCCTAAATTAAAAAACTAATATGCACGTACATTCTTAATAAGAATTATATACTATCAACATAGACTAAAACAATCGTCAATCAAAAACTATTGGTAATAGCAAAATTCTGAGTGCATTTCTGAAATCAACATGCAAATATTACATAATAGACATGCCTTAGTTGTTCTGTGACAAAGTTTTTGTTGACCAGTGTTATCAAATAGCAAAGGCTTCTAAGACAGATTAGGAAGGAATTAAATCCTTAGCTATCTGGATATATGACTTGTTTTCTTGCTGTTACCTTATACCTGTTTGATAAAAATAACGCTAACGCACAAATGGCAAACTGGCTTGAGTGACTACTGTCTAGACATTTGCATAAAAAATAATATATTACAGCTAAAGTACAATTTCATCTATGTATTAGCAAAGTAGAATTCTAAACACCTGCCTCCGTCCAGGGTTGAAGTGACGGGGACAAGGCAATGGCATTGATCAGGTAGCAAACAGTCTTGAGCAGCACGGACGGGGGGCGCAGGTCGTGGGGCCGAGTGGCATCCTTTCCCGCGGCGGGCCGCGAATATTCCTTCACGGTACGTGTGGGATCTGCCCTCGGCCACCGGTCCTTCTCCATGCCCGGCATCATTTCAAAGCGGTGCAGCCGCTTCTGCGCCTCCCTCTCCCGGCGTTCCCGCTCTGGACACATGAGTGTGCAGGTGCCCCTGGGGTCCGTGGGGCCATCACTGTGCTCGTTCTTCTGCGCCTCCCTCTCCCGGCGTTCCCGCTCTGGACACGTGACCGTGTAGGTGCTCCTGGGCTCCGTGGAGCCATCCCTCTGCTCGTTCTTCTGCGCCTCCCTCTCCCGGCGTTCCCGCTCTGGACATGTGACCGTGCAGGTGCCCCTGGGCTCCGTGGGGCCATCCCTCTGCTCGTTCTTCTGTGCCTCCCTCTCCCGGCGTTCCCGCTCTGGACACGTGACCGTGTAGGTGCTCCTGGGCTCCGTGGGGCCATCCCTCTGCTCGTTCTTCTGCGCCTCCCTGAGGCAGTCCTTCTTCCGACCGCACCCCCTCCCCTCGCTCTGGGGGTGAGGTCCCCTAGGCACAGGGCTGTGTGACACCACAGAAAAAAAAAACATCACGTCAATCATTGGGGTTGACTTCCATCATCTGAGGTTTTGTGTTCAGGGGCTGTTTGATGTCACATCCATAACACTGATGAAATCAAAATTGAATTTCGATTATTTGTCTATATTCAACCCAAGCAGTTTCATCAGGGGTGGTCAATTTTATCCAGAAAGGGCCATTGTCTTCATTGTTTTCGTTGTGACGCCATAATTAGAGGAATTGTTAGCTGAAAAGTCCTGACACCTGGGTTTGAGCAGTTGACCTAAACCTGCATACACACTGGCCCTTCGCAGATAAGACAGGCCACTCCTGGGTTACATGAAAAGATATGCAAGTTGACTCATGACACTAAATTTGTGCATGCTGAGGCATTTTGTTTCCCAAAATGGTTCTAAATGTCATATCCATAATGCTGGAATTGCCCTCTGTTAATTTAATGAAATTACCGCTACGAAGAAAATGAATTTTGAGGTGTACCATTCAAAAATACACATCTACAAACTACACACCGCCAAATGTAAGAGTTTAGTGTTAAACTGAAGTCATAACACCACAGCAATAGAGCAGATAGTACATAAATGTAACAAAGAAGTGTAATATGAATCGAGCGACTTTCACGTTAGAAATTGGTAGAATGGTCAATACAAAAAAAACGAGGATGTCTGTTAAACAAAGGTGCACCGTACGATTCTCAGAAAAAACATATGTAGTATTACTTATAACGGCGTGACACTGCTGCATCATTATAACATACATTTAAACCGACAGAGAAAACATTGAGACGAAATTTCGTCACCTACAGTGACTATTCCTCTTTAGTAAATGTCGAGCGACCAGTCAGAAAACGGTAACCAGCACGAGACAACCGAACTACCTTGTAATGCGCGAATTAGTCAACACCTAAATTTCGTTCACTATTCGTACATGACAGTACACGTTACGATTTGGAAAAAAAGAACTCAGAATATTCCGTAAATATCCTTTACAATTTGTCAAAACGCTATCAACATATACTCACAAGCTATTCTTAGGTTCCCTACTCATTGGCGGAATTCCGTCAAAATACGAAGGCGCCAATCACAAGGCTGGATTTATGCTTATGCTACGTCACTTCCGAAGTACGAAAGCACGAATGGGGGTTTACATAACAAAGAATCAAATAGCTAATCTGTGCGACATACTGGCATTCGTTATATATTATATTTGCATATCCTTCATTCGATTAATACAAGATTTTTCTATCGAAATGACCAATGACCATGCTTCTAACCCATTAACCCCTGGAATGTTTAGCAATGCATTGTTTCTGTACGTTTTTCTTAGAGATTATCATATATTCAGAAAAACAAAACACAATCTATTTCTATGTTCACAGGAAAAAAAAGCACACAGTGGTATATTTTAAACATTTATTTATTTAAAATCCACGTGAGAATTATGCTATTTACAAAAAGTGACTTTAGTTATAAAGGATGGAATGTATTTGATCCCATCTGCAGGCTCATTGCTTTAGAAGGGAAAGTGCTTGTGATTCCAACATCCCAAGTCTGTCTTCCTCCAAGGTCCGCTGGACTTCAACTGTCTGCCGACTGACCAGAGCGGCGAGTTCCAGAACATCCAGGAAAACTCTAAAAGAATCACGTCCATCAAAAGAGCTGTCAAAAACTGGAAGTGAAGAACTCAATCTTTCAACCTGAGCCATAAACACACTCAGACCATAAAACACCACACTTCTCATGTCACTACAGAATTCTCTGTACTGATTTTTTAAAATAATTTCTGAATTTGTTCCCTCTCGTGACGCACGTTTCGCGTAACTCGGGTAATGACCAGACTGGCAGTCTCCACCACCAAGTTGATAAGGATTTCCATGTCTCCATAGAACAGAGATTGAAAAACTGACGATTACATGGCATCTGAGTTTTACTCAGTATATAAATAACCCAATTATCTCCACTAATGATTTAACAGGAAGACCATTTCTTGAACAGAAAAAAAAACATTAGGCCCTTTAAAAAGTTATTACTCTGCACCTTAAGGCCACATATTATGAGGCAGGCCTTATAGTCATACCATCTATATACAGCTATACAGTGGCACGAAATAACATTTTTCCAGGAACAGGGTGCAATACACAGCATTTCAAGTGCAAAACAGGGGGGCTGGACACAAGGGTTTATATACATAGTGCAAGGTGCATGTAAATGACACATACAGCAGCATAAAGGGGTGGGAATACATATTGTATTGTTATTACTTATCTGTTTACTCATCTGCTATTTTTTTGCAGGCTTACCTTGAGAGCTGCTCATCAAGCCCCTGTGTTGCACCTTTGATCTCACTCAGAAACCTGGAAGCCTGACCTGACTGAGATGCTCCATGACACCTCAGTAATACCTTCTCACTCTCCTTCAGACAGACTTCTGCCTTATCTGCACAACCAAGCGGAAATGTCTCCAGTGAAGTGAAGTATTAGCAGCATATCATAAAAGCGCGTGAAAGATATATTCTAACCTAGAAACTCCCTTCGATCTCCCTCAATGTGGAAGTTTTTCACTGGAAGCTGGTGGCGAGTTGTGTCAAGCGCAGTGGTGAACACTTTGTACTCCTGTGCAAACTGCTCCACTTCCGCCTCAGCCGGGGTCAGTGCTGCGACCTGCAGATATATCAAGACCGATTTATCAACCACAGTTTGGTCTTTAAATCATACTTTTATCTGAAAGACTAACCGCTAACCTTGAGTATCATATCAAACATCAGCATCGTCGAAATCCCTTCAACCATCTGCAATTCAGAAATATTACCTGCATGTCCAGGAGGTCATTGAATTGCTTGCACTTTTCCCGCCGAAGCTGCTTCCATTTCTTCTCATGGAGCCTCTTTCGCTTCTGCTCCTCTTCCTCCATCACTGCTAATATGCTGCCTTCTGCCTCTTCTTTCAGTTTTTGTGTATTACTCTCCATCTGTGATTGAAGCCAAATTATCCCGGCAAAAAAGCTCTTAGGAAGGAAGACGGGGCATTTGTGGCCGCTGCACTTCAGAACCGTTTTCCCAACTTCAGCAAGGAATCTTCATCGACTGAAGAGTTTAAAACCAGACTGAAGACTAACTTCTACTCTATAGCAACTCCATGTCCTTCAATGATACGGGTGCTGCTCTCTTGACAAGAAGCATATGCTTTCGTTATGCTGCTGGTTATTGTTTTATTTTGTGCTTTTTCTTATTAATTGTATCTCAGTGGTGTTTTTCATTGCTTTTCATTAATTTTGCTGTGGTTTTGTTTCATTTTTATGTTGCTGATCGTGAAGCACTTTGGCTATAGCACTATGGTTCTGTGGTAAATCTGCTATATAAACAAATGGCCATTGCCATATATGGAGCTATGGATTTTCACTCAGCTAAAAGCACGGTAATATACATAAAACCAATAGGTATTGTACCCAAAATGTCTTACCTTGGCTGTGAGGAAAGTCAACATAAATGTCTGCATCTCCAAGAACTTCTTGTCGTTTTCTGGGTCTGCTGTATACTGTTTTACTGTCTTTTCTGTATGATTTAAAATAACAGATTGGTTTATTTTGCTCACACCTAGTTAGATGAACGTGCAAACGCTTTGGAAACAACACTTGCCTTTAATAGCGGACATGTCAAACTCTGGGTGAACGCAGTGACCATCTAATACTGTGGACTGCAGGATGCTTCCTCCCAATTGTGAAGGCTCCAAAATACTGGACATCATTGCTGCGGGGAAAAAAAAAACCTTAAATGAACATACTTTTATTTTAACGTTATTAGAATATCAGGAGGGTGACTTGCACATTTTCCAAATTCTGCTACAGTGTAGCATTTTCAAAAAAGACAAGTAACAAATTTCTAATGTATAAAGCAAAAACTAACAATGAACCCTGAATATTACACCAATCATCTGCATCATCAATATCCCTTCAGCCATTTGCTACTCAAACATGTTACCATAAATGCACCCAAGTTCTGGCTTTTCAACATACAGCAGAAAGTGCTTTAAAGGCAGAAAAGTAACAACAAAAGATAAATCAAAACACAGTAGAAAAGCAAACAAAACAGTGTAGCATCTTTCTTACACGCAGGAGTATTAAGGGACTGAGGAGCAAGGGAGCGTCGAGAGGGCATCTCCAGGGAGAACTTCTGACCACTCCCCATTTTAGGGGAGGCCGGCCTTGGTCCCACAAAGATGGACTCATTGAGCACAGTGTTCTGTAAATACACATATTAACTACTAAAGACGACATCCAAAAAACAGGCCCCTGAAAAAACTGCAAACGTTTAATCAGTTTTATTTCATGCTCAGTGGGAGATATTAATATTAATGATGCTTATCTCAGTAGCCGAGCTGTCAAAAATAATACAGTCAATTTGCTTTGCTAACAGATGAAAATATGAATATTACTTATATTTTAAAGGAACAGTTGCAGGGGATGTCCTTTGACATCGTTGAATGTATCCTCGCCTAATAGCAACGCCTCCAAACGTTACTATAGCTACTGCTACTTCACGTGGGCGACATGACCGTTACCTTTGCGGGCTGCTTCCGGTCAACAGCTTGTAGATAACGGGACTTGACTATTCTACCGGAAGCTGTAAAATGTGAAAATGCACATGTTAACACTGAGAAGGGCAGCTCCATTTGCAGATATTTAATACAGATCATTAGTGTGTGTGTGTGTATATATATACACACCTTTTTTCTTCGTCGTTCCGTTAAAGCTGCCGCTGCTGTTTTCACTCCCACCCTTTGAACTAAAGCAAAAAGCAAATAAATTGGGATTAAAAACAGCTATAAAATGATTAAAGGATAAGTAACAATTCATAAGTAATGATATGCCTCCGAATTTACATAAGAAAAGCAGTTCAAGGCTAATATTTATATAACCATTTAAGGCCAAAACAGATTATCCAATCCCACAGTCTTCTAATCGCTAATCCGTTACAGGGTCCTGGGTCTGATTATTTCGTTAACAATTTCGCTTGCTGTAATTTCTACGCAGTTCTTTTGTTTTTCAAACATTTTGGATAAGCAAATCTATCGTACCACATATTTTCAGCTTACTCTAAGCTTCTTAATACTGACTATTTTCGGTAATACCTTTTTTCAAAAAAAGTTCATATGTCTTATTTCTAGTGGGAAAACATATTATTGGACTGACTGGTTTTTCTGCACTTCTGCACTCACTTGTTTGAATCACCCAAAGCAGCTTTCAGAGGTTTGTGGACCGTTGAAGCTCTTCTCGCCGCCATAATTTTTCGAAGAAACCCGCCGGTGCAATACGGTTATTTCCGGCTGGCAGCAAACCACTTTAGCTCTGGAAAAATATGCTAGTTTACTATGCGATTTATACATATAAAAAGTTTAAATGAACTAATAACCTAGCAACATATTATATATATATATGCGTATATACCCAGTATAATACCACATGGCGCACATAAAAAAATATTGCTGGATATTTAAGACGGGGTGGTTATTACAGCATAATACTCCATCGGACAGTATTTAGTGACAGACAGGAACAGGAAGTTCAGCAAAGCACTTCGTAAACTAATCTTTACTTGTTTGCATTTTTTTATTTTAAATTTTATTAGTTTTTTTTTTATTTCTAGCGTATTGCGACGCGTGGCAGACAGAATTATTTTGTAACATTCTGTGAACATTAGACATTGTCGCTTCTGTTGGAGGGTGAACAATTTATGGGTGGAAATATATGTCATTTTTGGAATTGTCTGGAATAGTTGTCATGGTTAGTTCATTAAAAAAATCACGTCATATTGCGACTATAAAATAATTTGTTGGTTAGTTCTGTTTTCGATTAAATTGGCAATGTGCGCCATTTCATTGCTACTGTTAGTGTCTTATTGTACTGTAAACAAATGTATAAGTGTGACTGTTTCGAAAACAACTGGGCGTTGCATGGAAATATGAGTTACTGGTATGTTACATTTTAATGTTTTTTTCCCCCAAATTCCAGTCAGCAGCGGAATTTCAAAAGGTACTGAAACGATTCTACGACCTGCAGGATGAACGAGCGCAGGCTTACAAGCTTTTCGAAGAGTAAGTCATTTTAATATAAACGAAAAATGTTTTGAGTGACGGTTGTTATAAATCGTTGCTACGTTTTTATCTTGCAGGGGTCATGAGGCGTATTTGAGAACTGGGCCCCACTATGATTTTGAACATTACAAATTGCTGGTCCACGAGATAACACAGGCCTTTTCCGGGATATCGAAGGAAATATTAGAAATCAAACGGCAATTGCATGAAGACTTCGATCGTCCCGATCTCTCCGAGCACGTTGAGAAGCTGCAATTCAGAGAAAAGACAAAGCTGGAGCAGGTGTGAATACATTTCGCTTTGCAATATACTGGTATCTTCTGGAATAAGCGGGGCTTACTAAATACAATAAAGACAAAGATATCAAGCAATGTCATCGGAATCGACAACATCACGGCATCGGAAATGTTGGATTTGCAAAGTTCTCTTTGCTTCACAAAATATGTTGCATGAAGTACTCACTTTTGACTGGCTTGTTGCCTTTTACAAAGTGGACAGGAGATTGATTGTCCTGTCTCTTGACTAAGTTCAATTTTCAAAACAGGGCAGATCTTTTTTCCCCTCTGGTGTCACTTGAGCATGAACTTCAAAAAATTATTATAGCGTTTGGCCGTTATTTTCTTTTATTTGAAAGCAAATCTTTTTCATTGGGCTATTTTTTTCTCTCTCTCCTCCCGGGATCTTGCTTCTAACGGATGAAGCCCTGATTTTTGTTAAGGTTATGCAGGGTTGCCGACTTTGGTCAGCTGACTGCCGTGAGATTGTCAATTCGAGACAAGTCTGTACACACATGCATTTACATGTATGTAGTCGTTTTATTGTCTTGTAAATAGTGTGTAGGGTTTGCAAAATACCCAACGCTTTTGATGTAGCTAATCTTTGGTTTACAGTGGAATGGTATAGATTTGCTGTAAGATTTCTTGCCTGAGCGTGAGATTCTGAAAGCTTGAGTGTCACGCCAGATGCAGGAGATTTGGCAACCCTCGGTTACAAAATAGGTGAAGTTCATGAAAATTGCTCCAAGGTGTTACAATTACATACCTTTATATAATTTCAGTGATTCTGCCTGAAGAAATAACATTGTAATGTAAGAATGATTTTCAGCAGGAGGCTAATGAGCTGGTTTCATCTTCAGGGGGGAAGTTTCATATTAACTGATCTTTAACAAGAGACACTTGGCTCTTCCTAGGGGTATTCAAAAATGACAGAGGAGTCTAGTATTAACAAATTAATCATTTCTCACTTTGTATGGAGCCAGGTGTCCTGTGATAGCAGTTACGAGATTGTTTAGTGTACAAAGCCCCCCCAAAGCATAGCAAAACGTTGTAAAAATATTGTAACATTATCATATCTTTTTTTTGTCTCTGTCTGATTACAGACAGCCAAGCTGCAGTTGGCGAAGCAAAATGCCTTGGAGCATCCAGACGATGAGGACTGTCAAGAGAAAATTCAGGAAATCAGACAGCAGTAAGAGCCGTTTCAGTCCTCTCCTCGTTTTGTATTCTCAGTATGTTTCCCAGTATGAGGGGATTGTCACTTGACCAAAGTGGAATCCTTATGCCTTGTTTATCATAGCTTTAGAGCAGGGGTCTCAAACACCAGTCCTGGAGGGCCGCAGCCCTGTGTAGCTTAGTTCTTTCCCTGTTCCACCACAAATGATTCAGCTCAAGAGCTGTGTGGTAATTAGCACAAGGAGTTGAATCATGTGTGTTAAATGAGGGTGAACCAAAAACTGTGTAGGGCTCCAGGACTGGAGTTTGAGACCCCTGCTTTAGAGGCTTGTTTGGCTCTGTCAACCAACAGTGCAGTGGGTTAAATTCGCAGATGTCATTGGTTTTGGATCATGTGACACTATGATTCGGATGTGTTTTGAGCCCTTTTTTTTTTTTTTGAAATCTGCTTTTCTTTTCTTGGTAAAGTTCTCCATGCTCTGTCCCGTGTCTTTTAAGTGTGAAATGCTTGTGCTGACATGCAAATGATCTCATTCTTCCCCAGTATTATAAAGAACCAGGAGGCACTGGGTGAGATCCTGCAGGACTTCAGATATGACTCTGAGGAACCTGAATGATCTGAGTCCTCCCGCTTGGTGGTGCCTCACGGACAGAATGGAAAAGACTGGACTGCAGTAGCTTCCTCTTTCATTTGTCTGTGTTACCCAGTCGGGACAAGTACCATCAATATAATATAACCCCTCTTACTTTTGAGGTTCCCTTTGAATTTGAAGGACACTTTTTGTGCTGTCAGGTTTCTGAAAAAGAACTGAATTACTTTGCAAAAAAAAAAAAATCCCTAAATGTTACTTCTGCCAACCATGGTTGTGGTTATAATCAGCATGAACATGTGTGTATATATAATCATGACTGATCAAAAACAGTTTTTAAAAACATTTTTTATTGTTTTATGAACAATTATTTTGTGTAATTATCGTAATTGTTATTGCTACCTACACATAACTTAGAGATATACATGTATTTAAATATGCTGATACAGTTCAATACAAAAATAAAAGCAACAAAGGTGTCTATAGTCATACAGTCACACGCGCAGTTCACACAGTTCAACAGGATGATGTGAATTCCACCTACTAAGCACCCTCAAGTGCCTCCACATCCTTGGGTCAGATCAAAGCTTCCATGTGACCAAGGACCCACGATTCATGAAGCTACCGGCCGCCTGCATCATGGTGTGGAGACCTGCCCACAGTGCTGGATTTCGTTTAGACGACAACAAAAAAAGAGTCAGCCGGCAAGTGGAATCCCTAAAGAAAGCACGCGCAAAAGTCCTGGTGCTGAACAAAGTGCTGTTGGCCGTTGGTTATTCTCCTCCTACTGGTGGAAAAAAACTCGGGCAGGTTGGCGATTTTCTTCGGTGCACCTGATCCTTCTGTGATTTTTATTTTTTTTTGGATGGGAGTCGGGGGTGTGATACTGTGATACGAAGGCACCTGAATGATGTGACGATGGCCCCCCCATTTCCTTATTTTTGGGGTAGAGGGGCTGCGGTGGTGGCCACAGGATGATGCCACACTTACTGGTCTCCATGCGTTGTGTTGCTAATAACTTACTGATGCTACATTCAGACTGGTGGTTCTTTCAGTGCTCCTGGATGAAGATACATATTTTTTAATCAAAGAAATCCACTTGGGGGGGGGAGGGGGGGGAATGCAGGTTTTGGTGAGAATCCTTCCAAGGCAGTCGTACGGATCTGACAGAAGGCAAGTTTCTGGTCACAAATCCCAGTCTGTTAGAAAAGTCCTTGGTAAACAGCACCATGAAGTGCAGGAAATTTCCATACAGTTTTTTTTTTTTTTTTTTAACCTGGAAGTTTCCCCCAATGTATCCCTGCAGGAGTTTGGCCCTGGTGCACGTCAGAATACTGAATGTCTTGTATTCTATTCTATTTCGCATTTAAAAAAATACATATTTTGCTTTTGTTGTGAGACTGCTATGATTTATCGCCTTGTAGAATCTGCAAGAAGGAAACACATTTATTTATTTCGCTTTGCCAAGTAGTCTTTAAAAGGTCATTTTCACTCTGGATTTTTCATATATATAGTAGTTGTGTGTCCTATTTGGAAGAAACCAAAGCAGGATTATTAAACTCATTGTATGTAAGCTGACAGAATCCCACCTAACTAAATATGTGATGGTATTTTGACTAACAGTCCACTCCCCAAGTAGCACAATAACCGCTGACTTGGTTCATGGGGTGAGCAGAGGATGTGGGTTAGCAGTGATCTGCACAAAGGGTTCAGTCCTTCTGGCTGCCATTTGGGCTGTGTTATAACATGAAACGGGAAGTCAGCGTCACAGCGAGCAGCCAAACGCAAAAGGAATACATTAAACTCCTCGTTAATTACATTTATATGCATCTTTCTCTTTGTTGTGGTAATTGACAGAAGATCGCAAATCTCTGCGCCATTAAAAAATGCAATAAAACGAGAGTGCATGACTCAAAAATGCATAAGTAAACTTTCTCTGTGTTCCAGTGGAATAAAGGCAAAACCACTTAATTACCTGAACATGACTCTGTCTCATGCCAAGGCAAACAAAAGCAGTTCTTGGAAGGGTGGTCTGCCCTCTAGAGGCGGTGCGTGCTTTATATGGAATTCAGGGGGGGACTTTGGATGTGAATAAAATGTATAATCCTACTAATTTTGGGGTTGTGCAAATAATGACTGCAACAGAGATGGAGACAAAGAGCGGGGTATCCTTACCTACCTGGTTGCGCGTTTTGTGGGACTTCTGTAGCCACACGCGCCACTGGTCATACAGCTTGATGCTCATGCCACTGCAGCCGTAGGCGTGCTTGCGCACCCAGCCGAAGAACTGCTTCAGCTCCCGCCGCAGCGTGGAATTCTGCTCCCCGGACTTGGGGTCACATGACCCACTCAGCAACCGCTCTGCCAAGGCAATGGGGGATATCAGCGAGCACTGAACAGCCAGAGACGGAAAGTTCAGGTCTAGAAAGTAAAAATCCAGACTAAGGTTTTGTTTCAACCAACCAGTTGAGTATAAAGAGTCACAGTCAACTCAACGGGTTGGTTGAAACAAAACCTTGGTCTGGATTTGCACTTTCTAGACCTGAAATTTCCACCTGAACAGCAATGATCAGAAGACAGAATTTAACAGTTCTGATGGTCTGCACGGCTTCACTGTCTTAAGAACATTCATTTAATGTTCATGTTTAAGAGCAGCATTTAAAACTGAGTCAAAATATATAATAATTTATATAACATAAATTAACACTGGCTGAGCTAAAGCTCATGACAGACATTTCCTCTTCTTTGGAAGTAAATAGAATGTAACCCATTATCTGGTGTTATGTCTTCAGATCTGTTTCTACTTAATTTTCATGTCCTCTAGTGATATTCTGAACCTGAATGTAGTTGGCTGGCTGCATTTAACCATATCTATCTTTGAAGATTTGGAGGGGGAAAAAAAAGCCAATCAAGCACCCCCACGGCCTTCTGCCATGTCTTCTTAAATTCTTTGAATCTGTTCCTGTAAGATTCCAATCACGTTTTGTTTTCTTGTTTCGCTGGGGTCACATGCGGTTTGTATTTCCTACGTACAGCATGGTGCAGCTTGGACAGCATTTAAAATGTACTTCCAATGTCTGTCATAACATTTGGCCCTGCCTTGAAGAACACAGATAAGTATTTAGCTGTCACTCAAAAGGCACATGAGGAATCTATTTGCGGAAAAATCCTTCAGGACGGAAGCCTCGCTATAAATAAACGGCACAATTTAATGCCCATATTTCATTACTGCATGACCACCTGTGCTGAGAGATGTGCGGGGGCCCCTCTGTGCCCAAACACAGCCGAAAGTGGACTCCCCTTTACATTTCCCCCCCCCCCTTTACATTTTCCCACCCCGTTACCCACCTAGCTAGAGGCGCCAGATGTGTCACTGCATGTTTGTGTGGCGATATCTGATGAACCGAGACGTTTCTCGTCCGTAGGGCAGCCGTAAACAATGCAGCATGAAGAAAATCTTACTGAGTGTCATTAGCATTTTATCCATTTACTTAAACAAGAATAAATTAAATCCATAGCATGCAAACTTCCAAAACTAAATCCATGTACCACTTCTGACTGAACAAACCCTTGTAGCAAATAAGAGTAGCACAATCTATTCTACTGTCCATGATAGCAGTTCATTATTTTAAATGGAAAATGACAATGTTATACTTAGGAGACATTTTTATTTGAAACAAAATCACTTGTGGCTCCATTGTTGTTTTGTTTACAATTATTTAAATCCATAAACTATGTTAAGTTTAGTTTGTGTTGGATACTGAAACACAAAAAATTATTCAATTTTCTTTGATTCAGCTATGACTCGTATGGTAAGATATTGTGCAAAAGTAGTTACAGGTGACCTCAGAAAGATTGTTTTGCGGGATAAACCCTACCTATAAACATGAAATAAACCATTCAAAGTGCACTAACGTCTGGCTCATCAGCAGCACGACACTGACCTTGTGTTTTCATGTAGCTCTCTGGACGTCATCGTGCCGAGTTTCTCGGATAACGGGCCGGCATTAAGGCCAAATGAAATAATCCAGACAGCATGGCTATGATAGCAGACTGGTTGATTTTCCATTGCGACTTAGACACAGCTGTTCCCAATGCCCTCCACATCCACTAGGATGCTCTATAGCTAGCGGTTGCGCTATCGACCGTGGACTGCCCTGTCGTTTCACGCCACGCGCCTCCCTAACAGTAGAAGTTCACCTTTCTTAGGCGCCGAGAATCGCCGGTTGACTCTGGAAAAAACACTGCTAATTTTGCCATGACCCAACTCCCATTAAAAGTGCTCAAAGTCAGCCAAGACCACATAAAAGACTGAAAGCACGACTGGGAGAAACTCAAGTTCGGGGTGACAGCCCTTCATAGCCACCCCCCCAGGGGCTTCCAGAGCATCACAACATTTTTGACCTAATGAGTCCGATCCTCAGGAACTCACAGATAGTCCATGTTTTTGCTCCCTCCCACAAATTATTCCTTTTATTAAAATTATTATTCATTACAATGTCATGCAAAAATGTTAACTGTCTGTGCGTCCCTGAGGATCAGACTGAGAAATAATGACCTAATGTCACGATGTAACCTCTACCGCGATTGGCCTGTTCCACTCACCGCTGTTGGGGGTAGAGGCTGCCGTCGGGTTGCTCCACTCGCTCCAAATGCCAGCTTTCCTAGAGCCATAGATGCCCACGGGGTTGCATCGTACCTGGACAAAGTAAACCGTGCCAGCCCTCAGACCCGCCAGCCTGCAGGACGTCTGGTTCCCAACGTCGTCCACGACCTGACAGAAGACAAAACACTGACAGTGTGCTGTGGAGCGCCGCAACCAGAAGCTGGTTCACACCAACATATACGCTCTGTCCCACTAAACACTCAATTCATAAGCGTGCGAACACAAGCTTGCAATCAAAGCCACATTTCACTTTGCACATTCAGCAGGCCATCTTGCCCTGGACTGTCTCAGACAAGAAAAGACTTATTGACTTTATTGGGAGAACAAAACATTACTGCTCCGAAACCCACTTTAAGGGGTCGTAATTCACTACATGATATTAAAAAGAAAAGCCGTGTTGAGGAGATTTTTACTTCTTTAATTAGTTTTCTTAATTGCAGCAGACAGCTTATGGGTTACAGAAGTGGAGACTTAATTTTCCAATCAACTGAGGAATGTCATAATCCTTTTCACTTCTTTTTATTTCATATAGTCGTCCAACTTGCACCCGAGAATCCGAGTCTTGAGCCTTATTCACAGCTCCCGTGCCGAGTGCGGAGCCGTACCTTCCAGTCGGAGCTGTCCTCTAGCCGGTAGCGGATCTGGTACTTGGCTTGAAAGAGGAAGTCTTTGAGGGCGGGAGGTGTACCCCAACGTACACTGAGCTGGTCCTCCAGCTCCCCCACGCGACTCACCAGGATGTCGGCAGGGGGGTCCGTGGTCACTTGGGAGGAGACGGACGCAGAAGTTTAGGACACACTTCAGACCAGGGGTGAGAAACGACGTATAACGAAGAATATAGCCACTAATTCGCTCTATGTCAAATACACAATCCATGACATCATATCTGTGGAATGCACAAAGAAAATAAGCATATAATTTTTACCATATCCTTATAAAGTCGCAATATAAAAGAAAACTATGGGGAGTTGGTGGAGACAAGGAATACATTTTTTCCACAGCGATCAAAGATAGTGGATTCACAGAGCTTGGTCTTTGTTTGGCATCTTTATCTCCTGCACCAAAACATTTAACAGAGAAAACCTCGTTTTGACCTGTGCAATCGCTGTCTAAGTGAACCTGAGTGCTTTTTCTGAATACCACAGGCAAAATCCCTGCATAAATCATAATTATAAATGCTGTGCTCTTCAAAGCCATCCACTGGTTCTCTTTCTTTCGCCATACCGCCCCAGATGGAGACATTGCCCTCAGCCCCCTGGTCGATTCAGCCCTGCTTTTCCCCCTTGAATGTTTAATTCACATATTCCTCCAAATGCCACCACCCCCTCTGCTGTGCCCCTTAGTGCTTTTCATGATTATGACTATTAACCAAGTCAAAGAACGCACAGTTATCAAAGTAACTCCTGTTCAAGCTACCAATCCTGTGCTTAATAATATGAAACATGCCCATGTTTCAGGCTTCAGTATTGCAGTTACGGGTTTATCCCTCTGGGGAAAAACACTTCAGTAACAAGTCCAGTTGAGACCATAAGAGGAATATTCTGAGTAGAGCAGTGATTCCCAACCCGGTCCTCGGGGGCCCACAGACGCTCCACGTTTATGTTCCCACCCAGCTCCCTGCCAGACAGTTCACATTTTTGTTCCTACCGGAAGCTGGGAGGGAGCGAAAATGTGGACTGTCTGCAGGTCCCTGAGGACCGGGTTGGGAAACACTGCCCTAGAAGATGACATAAAGCAAGAATTCCTGTGGGCCCCACGCCACCTGCAGGACTCCCATGGGACTGGACCGAAAATTAGAAATACAATCCGGGACGGGTCTGTACAGGATTAAACTCCGCAGGAGCGTACAGCATCATTTCCACAATCATCAGGCGTAGCAGACCCACTGCGTTTGGTCTTTGTTTGCCATCTTACTCTTTTACACCAAAATATTTAGCGTAGAGAAATCCTTGTTTTGAGCTGTGCAATCGCTGTTTACAGAAGCATAAATGGGAGGCAGGAGACTTGCAGATAATAGGACCAGCTACATTTGGGAAAAAGGTCCCTACAAACTACAAACAATCACTACAACTACAATCACTACAAACAAAAGTTTTAGCGAGTGACTGATTTCATGATGCTAACATGACAGTTTTTTCTCTTAGCCTCTTTGTCCTGTGTCAGGACATTACTACAGGTGACAAACCCTGCTAGGACTATATTCTGAAAAAGACTGAGAAACTGAACTTCTGATACTGAAAGGTACAAGTGACTATGACTCTTGCACATTATGCACACATACTGCTAAGTCTCTGTATACATATTGCATTCTTGTACATAAAGTTGACTTGGCTGATACTTAAAACTGTACTATAAATTATATTATTTTATATACTGTAGTTTATTTTCAAATAGTTTATATTTATACTTAAATTATTTCTATGTACATACATATACACATACATAATTACATATTTAATTATATCTTTACCACCATTACTACTACTGTTATAATTAATTATCATATAATTATTATATACCCAAATACTAATCTAGTGTTTTACTTTTCTGTATATGCGTAGCTAAATGCTGAATGTTCTTTGTAATGTCCTTTTTCGGAATATCTTATAATAGCTCCACCAAGACAGATTGTTTGGAAACATACTGGGTCGATAAAAAGATGATTCTTATTCTGATTCTGAAAAATTGTAAGAATCTATTCCTCCGCAGCAACAGTTGTTGCCAATTTGCATTTTATCAAATTAACTTATTTTATTGAAATACATGCATTCTTGATATATTTAAAGCACATCATCAGCTATTTTGCGGTTTATTTTTCCGTTAAAAAGTCAGATACGACACTGGCTAGATTTGTTGTATCAATCTGCCTTTTGATTTTGAATTTTATTTGATTGATTTTCTTACAGAGTATCAATATAAATGTACATTATTTACATACTTAATTTGCATAGTTTACTTGTTCTGAAAACTATTTTGTTAAATTAAAACGATGCATAGCTAATGGGACAAGAGGAATGGAAGAATGAATTAAAGGGATATAGTTTTAGAAATCACATCTATGGAACGGGAGACAATAAGGCAGGATAGGACTAGATTGATTTCTTTTTTTATTTTTACAGTATAGGAATGAGAAAGGGAAAAATTTTGATGGGACAAGACAGGACAGGACTGAGAATCCTCTCACGTATCATTCTGAAGTGCCCACTTGTGTTTTTCTGTTTAGGGAGCTGTTGCTAACATCCTGCTTTCACTGCACACTGCACACTGCACACACTGGTACATTTACTGGTTTTATCAGAAAGCCTCTGGGGTAGGCAATCAAGAAAACATTCCAGAGGTTATTGTTTCTGTTACTAAGGGGGCGAAGATGATGGGAGGGTGTGTCACACATCTGCAATCCCACCTTTCTCCTTCACCATCCCCCTCCCATTCCGTCCTGCAGCTTCTTCGCAGGGCGTGGCTCAAGGAGGCTAAGTCTCAACACAAAGGTCACCTTTAATAGCCTTTTTTTCTTCCATCTCCGTTCCCAAGGACACTCCTAAGGATTCCGCGATCCTTGCTTCATCTCAACCCTAATGAACACGACCGATCCCAGTATTACACCACATGTACGTTTACATTTTACACAATAAGCAGACGCTTTTGTCCAAAGCGACTTACCAGGGAGGCGAATAGCACGTTATAAACATATATGCTGTCAAGGAGTCGACTAGGCATAAGGGCAGCTAGACTGAGCTTCCAGTGAACGTCCAGGTACGAGTGTAAGCAGGATAAGAGCAGGAGCTACTCAGCAACATCTAACAAAGCAAGAACCTAATAAGACTGTTCAAGGACCAGAAGTGCAACATTAATAACATTCAGGGAACAGAGAGAGACATCAGGCTAAAAGAGGAATTCATGGAACAGATGGGTCTTGAAGTGTTTCTTAAAGGTACTCAGTTATTTATTTTGATCAGTTTTACTCTTTGTTTTCTTTTAACTTTTTTCTGATCACTCATAAGAATATATTGGTCTTTTTGAATGAGTTTAATAAGTAATCCGAATGTACAGGGTAGAATAGTTAAATGATCATTTTTTCCGGAACGCTTTTATTAGGGAATGAAACAATGGTGATATTCAATTTGGAAATTCAAATTTCCAGCCATAACGGTGTTTTATAAATCTGAAAAAGAGAACATTAAATGGAGTGGGAAGCGCAGGTGTCAGAGTGTGAACGCATAATTCTTACGCAAACATCATGCACTTATCCTTCCTGACTGTAAGCATACTTTTGATCTACCCTGTATGTTTAACATATCGCTGAGACTTCTATGGTATTTTAATTTATCTCATTTATTTTTACTTCAATCAGGAAGGTTAACGTTTTCATGGCGCTGGGCTCTCTGGAGGAGACATGAAGGGCTGATCTCGCACGAATGCACGACTGCGGTCTGTGAGAGCCTGCCTGCTTTGTCACGCACCGCGGCAGATATGTCTGTCCGTTACGGCTCCACACTCCCTCTCGTTCTGCTTGTCACACGGTGCCTTTGTGCTGCAGGCTCCTTCTAACAAACAGGAGCTACTGGGCCAGTATGCACACACTTACCTACATCTAGGATATCTAAGGTGATGACATCAGAGACGGCAGCTCCGAGCTGGTTCGACGCCTCCACCCAGATCTCGTAGGGTGTGAAAAGGGCCAAATCACGCGGGATGTAGCATGTGTATGGATGCCCGATGTTATAATCCTCGCACTCCCTTTCTCGGCCGTACCACCTGAGTGATACAAAACCAAACGTTACTGTCAAACTTATCTACAAATGAGTATTCAACTGCTCAAACGAGTATTCAAGTGCTCAAATGAGTATTCAACTGCTCAAATGAGTACTCAACTGCTCAAATGAGTACTCTGCTTTTATTATCCTGCAAAGTGTTACCTATCAGCCCTTGTAGTAAAGCCACTGTAAATTAATAATACAAAAGCCATTTCTAAAATAGTTTACACATTGATTTATATTCATAAATGAAAGATAATTAATTCTCTATGGTTGTTGACAGGAAATTATGTTTGAGGGACTAGACAGAAAGACCAAGCTCTAATTCAGGGAGATTTTGAAGGGGTTTTTGGAGCCGTACCTAAGCTTGTACTTGAGGGTGTATTTGGTCCGTATGAAGGTCTCTCCTTGCCCCCCAGGCGTCCACCTGCACGTGAGGTCCTTAGTGTTCCTGGACCAGCAGGTCAGGTTCACTGGCTTCTCAGGAGGCACTGAGGAGAAACGGATCCAGATTTCATTCACCTGGCATTTCGTATCGCTGAGAGGATGCCAACACTTCATGCCAACTCACTAAACAGGACCACGTAACCACATGCCACTCCAGAAACATATGATCTAATGAAACAACCGAAACCTCAGGCTCTTAAACTAGATTCTTTGCGACACCTGTCATTAACATTCCTAAAGGGTTTATTCAAAGATCCTATGACTTAAACTCAGATAACAAGCACAGCGCTCCTTATAAACCCTGCCACTAGCTGAGGTTTAAATCCACCGCTCTGGCCTTAGCAGGCCTGATTACATTAGTGTGAATGGAGAATGAAGCCGTCTAGTAGCCCATGTCCTTCTGTACGTGAAGCTGGTGTGTTTCATATCACCGTCACTCATGCAAGGTTCAGCTGCACCTGCAGCACATTTGCTCTCACATAAGGCTCGATCACATGCCGCATATTATATGCTAAATTCTAAAGTGCGTATCCAAGCCTAAGTTACAGCGATAACCTCTTTAAAGACTTAATCCTATTGATCCATCATGTTCAGTCGATATTCATTAATGCACATTCTAGTAGGAGCCACAAAGTGGTGGGACTCTGGATTTCAGATTCAGATCCTGAATCAGATTTAGATCCTATATCTGAAAATAGAGAACATTAATTGCAGTCGGAAACATGGGCGCTGCAGTGTGAACGTATAATTGTTATGTAAACGGTTTGCCGACGGGGGAAAATTTTCCAAGCGATGGTCAGGTTTGCGTGAATGCGAAGGTCCATTAGGGACGGCCTTTCTCCGCCACAATACCACGGCCCACTAACAGACCACGGCTTGAGAAATCTTGCTCTAGAGAGTCACATCTTCCAGCCGCTTACCCTGCCCAGGGTTGCCTGGAGTCTCTCCCAGGCAGGAGAGGGCACAGGGCAGGGGTACAGAGTGGGCGGGATGCCAGTCCATCGCAGGGCACAATCATACATGACAGGCAACTTACAGGCACCTATTATCCCCACCGCATGTTTTTGGGCAAGCAGGGGGGAAATTCACAAAATACAGGGAGAATATGCAAACCGCATACACACACACACACACACACACACACACATGCACACACCGCAGAATTGGAACCCCGTTCCCTGGAAGCGTGAGGCAATAACGCTTCCCAGCATGCCACCCAAGAATGGGACGTAAACAATGTATTTCCAGACCATTAGCACAGCCTGCCTGTTGTATCAAATTAAGTGCTACATCGAAACGCTTCAGCTAGAACTCAGGGCAAAGACGACATGAAACGACAGTAACTTCCGTCCCAATCCCAGACTTACTGCCGACGTAGAGGCAGGAACCTGCCAGCACGTGACCCCCGCTGTTGTGACACACCAGGTTGTCACCTGACTGTTGCCGGGAGCCGTTGAGCCGGTCGAGGGTGACAGTGAGCGCGGTGGGGCTCAGCAGGTTGTAGATGCCGCTGGGTAGGCGCCTCCCGTTTAGTGTCCAGAACAGGGTGCTGGCGTGGAGCCCCAGCTCGGGGCTGATGGAGCAGGTCGCCGTCAGGCTGGAACCGACCCGCAGCGCCGGATCCTGGGGGGAGACGGCCGCCACCTCTGGGAGACGGGTAGATAAGCCAGGGGGATTTATAACCCGCGGTGATGATGGGAGATTTACGGCTCCAGTGCCGAGACTGTCGGGAGAGATCACTCGGAAAGGTCGCGCGAGGTTCTTCGTCAGACCCATAAACGCTTTACCATACCGTGATCTCTAGCTGCCCTCGTCCAGCTCGACATTAACGTCGGTGTGAAACGTGCTGGAGACACTGTTGTTGTCAGGGGTTATCAAGTCGGGGAGACTTAAGGGTTAATGTGAGAAAGTTTATTAAGTTTGTTCTTGGTGGGTGGGTGGAAAAGCTATCTAGCATATGTGCCAAAATGCTGAATTTGCTTTATCTAGCTACATTCATTTACTGTTGGCGTTCATGCATGGTAACTATACACTCCAAAAATGAAATATGAACACAAAGGAAATTAAACGTTTTCACATAAAACAACAAATGAGTGGTGGTTTAGATTCCAAGGCTTATGAGAGATTAGAATGATGTATTTCAGCTATTACTGAATATAACCTCCATGAACCGTTTTAAACATCGAGACAATTACGGCCTAAATAGATACAGAGGTAAGAAATCCTTCAAGCTCTAAAGACCCCTAGCAAATTATTGTTGCAAACAGTAAATAAAAGGCTTAACCAACTGCTTATAAAAATGACCAACTTTAAAAAATTAACAGTGATAATTATAAATACAGATAAATACTGATTATTCCGCAGGTCTAGAGCTTCACGTGTTTGCAGGATTCATCAAACATGCAAGAATTCAGTTCAATGAAATAGGATGCATAGGATTTTAAAAACACATCATTAGGTTTGGGGGATTTTAATAAGACTTTAATATTTCCTCAAAATGATTTGAAAATTAAAGGACTTTTTTCAAACATTAAAATCTAATGCAAAAATAAGGCACGATTACTCAAATAGTGTAAGATTATGCAAAAAAATTAAACATCATTTTCACCATCATATGACTTTTGCCTTTGAATATAGAAAAATTCAACAACTGACATATTATTATTTGGATTTTCAGTGCGATCAAGATATTAAAAACACACATTTTTATTTCTAAAAAAAAAAGAGCCTTTGCCTGATTTATCCACAAATACAAAAGGGCATTTTTAATGAATGCAGTTCATGCTTATATGTTATTCAATTTAAAATATCAAAGAAATAAGAACCTTAAAACGAAAAGAACTGTTCTGAGTAACAGTAACTAAAGAGTGTTTTAATTACAATAAGCAGTAGTGTAAGTAGTTATAAATCGCACAACTTACGTATAGCAACTGTCTTTTTGATAAAGTTTGATTTAAAGAATCCAATAAAATAACAAGAAAACGTGCAGTGCAAAAAGTGGCTACAATGTTAAAGTTACGTGGTAAAATTACTGAATATCAATATCATTAATATTTTGCATTAATTTCTTTCAGCATACACATAAAAATTAATTTAAATTATTTATTACAGTGGGTCTGAAATATTGATTAATTATACTGAAAAAATGTATAATTAGTTTAGATTTTTCTCAAGTGTCATGTTATTAATATCGCATTATATATGTTACGATGTAATAGAAAAATCGCGGCTATTTATCTCATGGCAAATATTCTACCACCATTTATAGTGAGAATTTTATTTCGTAGTTTATTGATATGTTGTTTCACGTGAAACATTTAATTATATTACACATGTTTTCTATTTACTATTTAATACAGAATAATAAATAACAAGTAGCCTAAGCATATCAGAATTATATTTTTCTATATTTGGCATCAGCAATAAAAATGATGCATAACCTCGACCATCTTGAGTCATAATAAATGCTAAAATAGCAGAGTTGAGTTTGTGGACGCCTGCTGTTGTTTTATATTTACATATTCCTGACTAAACTTAGTATTGCGAAGATACTTAACTGTCAACACATACAGGCGTTACACATAGCTGGGATGAAGTATATCATATCGTCATACTAGCATAATTTCCATATGATCACCGTTGGATTCTTCGGGGAGATGTACGAATGTGTCTTTTTGTGGGAAATCGACATTTCCTCCTGCTATAGTTCACTAAAATAATATATCCTGACAATGCGAAGACAGCAGTCGGCAGTGAGCTACGGCTGTCCTGGGTTTTATGTTCTGTACTTACGTGTCGAAGAAGATAGCACACGAGGAACAAACAGGACGAGAAAGAGTAAGGTGATCATATTTCAAGTACTTTGTGACTTTTTTTCTCGTTTGCTCCTTTGCAGTTTCTTTCCTGTTCCCTTCACACACGTTTGCAAGACAAAAAAGGCACTAATCCGCCGCTCCGGGCACTTGGTACAGTTGCTCGTCTGATTGTGAGTCGTTCGGCAACTTCACAGCGGTTTTATTGCGCTCCGTATCCCCTCCGGCCGTCCGTGCCCCGCTAACGTAATAGAAAGTTTGCGATACCTAGCGTTTCCCTGCAGTTTAGGAATGGTTTGCTTTGGTGCACGCCTCAACAGCTAAAACATACAAGTTGATACTTTTCAAGCCCCTCCCAAGCCTTCCCACACAGTAACTAGTCATTTTTCCTTCTTTTCATTTAGTAAATTCCTTGTTCCTCCCTTTCCCCTGACTGGGCTGATTTTTAGAATAATTGACTTGTGCATTTTTCCCGTATCCGGTAATATTTTCGGTGCAGGCTGGTGGGTGCGTGAGTCACTGGATTTCGCGAAATCCGCGGTACGAAGGACTCTGACAGCCACAGAGAAAGATCTTTCATGCTGAACGACGTTGCGTAATTCCTCTTTCATTGTGGTTTTAATGAAGAAACCTTTACCCTAGGGTAACAAGGAGGTAGTCGGGAATGAGCTTTTATCGTGGCGCTATATACGTTAAAAAACAGGGTAGAAATGTTATATCCTGTGTTAAAACACCCTGGGCTACAATAACATACATACTCAGAATCACAGAGTCGTCGATTCTCTTGTAACTGTAGATGCTTAATTCAGACATTGCGATAATTTGTTTTTCATTATTAGGTCAGAGTGTTATAAATTTGGCGTAATCTAAAACTAATTTTAAAGAGCAATCCTGTAAGCATATACAATGTAATGCAAAAAAAAAAATATATCAAATGAACATACCTCCACGTGAACCTGCCAAGGATAAGTGGTTGGAAGATGAGATGGGAGAATCTACCGAATATTATTTTGGCTTAGTCATGCTTTTTAGGGGAAAAAAACTATTAATTTTTCATGACTCAGTTGCAGGTATAAGCTACCTTTGCATGACATGAGAAGGGATACTTAAATAAATCTCTTAATCGATGTTTTAGGCTGTTCTGTTCTGTCCGCTTAGAAACTTGGGGGCGAAAAAGCATCCGGCCGGGATCACAATCAGGAGTGACTAATGTTTGACTAACAGAAGTGGGCACCTCCTATTAGTAGCTGGGCCAGTGACTCATTTCGGTGTCTAGTCTAAGTGTGAATGATGGACATATTTATGTAACGGAAAATAGGCTCCTTCAGCCCCTAAGATCACAGTAGCCTGCTTTGTTACGTCACAGGGTGTATTGTTATAAGCCGGACGCTTAGCCACTCGCCACGTGCCAAGCGGGAAAGTGAATGAATGGAGGCCTGTGTTTGACACTTGCTGACCGGATACAAGCTCTTGAGTCTTTTGTAGCCTGACTAGGAATGCGTCGCTCTTCCGATCACCCAGATGACATCATAACGTCCTGGCGACCCTTGACTCAGTTTTGGTGCCCACTTTGCCATTTCATCTTACAGAAATCTATATATAGTTCATTATATTAACTAGACTGACCTTAACCTCAGTCAAAGGTGTGTCAGCTGTATAGAAAATCCTTTGCTCTAGTGAATTGCATCATTGGCTTTCTTCTGTATTTAGTACATTCCTGGACACGTGGTACCATGAGTTTTGTTCGCAGCTATTCTTTTACTCGGATAGTACCCCAAGTTTAATTCATGCCCCTGCAACAGATGAAATGGTGCAAGGCATTTATGTACGTTTGTTGATGGATTGCGCATTTTCATCCATTCAGCTTCCATAACCACCCATCTCCTACAGGTTTGTGGTTCATGTACTTTCAGGGTAATGTCATAATTTTTTGCAACAGAATGAAGGGTGAGAAATACCTCTTATTCTTTATATCCCGTGTTTTGCATTTAGTAGCTATACGAAGGAAAACACTGTGGAAAAAGTCCCCAATGAGGCTTTTACAAACGGAAAAGCCTCTTTCAGGGTGATTCTAACCATTCCTTAACGGACAATTTTAGATCCTTCAGATGTTCAGAGGTTCAGTTCAAAACACAAATGTTTAGTTACATTTAGGTCCTGAAATTAAGACGGCGCGCCCAGTGTTGATTTTATAATCAGCCAACCATTTCACGGCTGATTTTGATGTATGTTTGGAATCACTGTCTTGCTGGAGAGTCTGTATGTGGACATATGCTTGCCTCTTGGCAAAGGCAGAAAGGTGTTCCATCAAAGTGTTGCGGTTCTTTCTGGAGTTTATGATCCAGTCTTAACAAAGGCCCGTTCCCAGTAGGGGAATGAATCCCAAAACAACAAGAACATGTTCACTATATTTTACAGTGGGTATTAAATCTGCGTCTTTCTGGTACCAAACAAAGCACTAGTGTACATGTTTAAAACAGTTAGTTAGTCTCCTCAGAGTGTAACATTTGATTGTCACTGGTTTATCTCACCAGTGAAGATGAGTGAATTCAGGTCACCTTTTTAGCCGATTTCTCTCCAAAAGGAGTTTTTTATTTTCATAAAGTCAGTCTCTGTGGATTTTTTTTTTTTCACTTTGTGACAAGATTATTCTGCAGTTTCCGACTGTTGCCCATGAATTTCCTCAAATGGTTCTTCAACCGCCTGTCTGAAAGCACCAGGAGAACCTCGTGCCCTCTACCTAGGCAGGTCGCTACTGTTCCGGTGGCCTGAAAATTGTCTCTAATTGAAAACAGTCAAAGGCTGCATTTAGCATTTTATCAATTAATTTTTTTTTAGCTATATCCTGCAGAAGTCAATGACCTTTTTCTCTGGTCCCCATAGAGTTGTCTGCTTCCTAAGATACTGATGCTAATGGGCTTTGGTAATGGCTCTTGGAGGCAAATATGGAATTCCTTAACTTTCTAGACTTTGCGTGATTCACTGTGTATATGTTGGTTAAGGGACATCAGGAGAGTGGATAATTCCAATGCAGGTGTTTCCCAGACAAGGAAATCAAGCCATATAAATTCTTACCAAATGCATGTATCCAATTATATAATTTTCCATTTTTAAAAGAAAATACAGCCCACTACCTTTTATGTTTGTTTTATATATTTCTTTTGTTGACCTTTCTCAACGGATCAATAAAAAACAAAGAGCACTCTGCATAAACAAGCGTGTGAGTAGAAAGTTATTTTTTATCTCAAAAGTTTGTCCACGCACATGTATTTAAGATGTGGATCACAGAGAGTGGAAACATGTGCAGTTGAACCGCTTTCTAAATAAACACAATTTTACCTTTGATATTAGTAAAGAAAACAACACAGACACACACACACCTTTTTTTAACCGAGATTTGACGTCGTCCCCAGTCTGTCTTGCTTTAAGTTATGTAGTTATATATCACAATTCAGTTACAATTAGTTTAAACACAGTGCTCTTCCCAGTTTGGATGTTGCAATGAATAACAAAGGATCGATCACCAAAAGATTTGAAATAATGAAGACGAATAAGGAATTCAATGCTAGACACGACAGCAATGAAATATATGGAATTATACATCCCCAGAAAAACAACATGATGCAAAGGAGAAACATACTATTGGAATCTACTGATTTTCCCTATGATATACAGAAGAGCAACATTTGTTTTGTAATCAGTCTTATTAAAAAAATATGCATGTGTTCCCTGAACTTTCAGTTTAAGCCAGTTAGGCTTCATCCCATGAAGATGACACCACACACACAAGGTGGATTCTGAGAAGTTTTTTTTTTTTTTTACATTTACCTGCATTGCATACTACTCATTATGGGTTAGCTAAGTTTTGGCTTTTCCCGAGAGCAGTGTTTCCCAATCCAGACCTCAGGGACCTCCAGAGTCCACATTTTTGCTCCTACCTGGAGCTGGGAGGGAGCAAAAAATGTGGACCAAATTTGGGTGCCCAACGACCGGTTTGAGAAACACTGTTCTAGACAAAGAATGAGATGGGTCAAGGGGGTGTGTTACTAAAATTACACAGAGATCATTAGAAAACACAGTTAGTGCATTGTTTGTTTAGTCATGTTCATTAGTCTGCTTGTCATTAAATAAATAACATGCATGTTTACCTTTACATTTTCTGAAAATTTTGTATATTTGGATTTTTTTTAAATAATGTACATTCAAATATACATGTATATATGTATGTGTGTATATATGACTTTTCTACACTATCCCCTTTGATAAACCCCAAACGCAGATAAACTGGAGAAGGCAGGTTTGCGTTTGCCAGCCTTAAGCACGAGTGTCCGGCCCTCTCCGATTCACCTGTTAGCTTCAGGATGTCTGCCTGTGATTTGAACCCGTTTTGTTATTTGTGTTATTAAGCAAGATCTGCGTCAGTCTCCCATCCCAAATCTATCTGACGAAAGACACAGAGCTGTCATTCGCCTCCCAAGAACCATAACCAATGACTCTAGTCACCCTCTTAACAAACAGTTTACTCTGCTGGCATCAGGTCACAGATACAGGACTCTGAAATGGAAGCTGGCTTCGCTTTGGCAAGAGTTTCGTCACTACTGACAAAGCTGCACTTAACTTGCCACATTAATTTTGTACCCATCAAATCTCCACTACTAATTGTGTGTATATTGTATATATATATGTTTATGTGCCATTCTATGTATCTGTGCCTAACATGTTTAGCATGTTAGAGGCCTGTAATGTACTTGTGTTTGTATTGGAACAGACCGTGAAGACAAATATCCTTATAGGACAATAAAGGCTGTCTATACAACCCCTCCTGCCCCCTCAGAAGGTATTAAAATGCCACCAGTGCATCCCACTCTGAAATCACCCTGAATCTGTTTCTTAGGCAGCCTTAAAGCCCACAGTGAATTTCAGACGACTCCTGATTTGACTGAGTATTTTTTAAAGTGAAATGCCCATTTTTTTTTTTTATCCTAATCTAGATTCAAATTATTTTCATTGAACATTCCCTACATCCTGCTATGGCTGTAGATAGAGATTATTAATAACCACCCCCACCAACTGATTTATCATAACTGCTGATCAGGCCGCATTGAGCTTAGGGCCTGTCGCTGGATGCAGGGGCGGGGATGTCCCCTGGGGGGTCCTTAGTGATGAATGGAGAGGGGGGCTGAATCTTTACTAGGGGGGGCTGATGGCAAACTAAACTGTACAACTCTACTGTATAAAGTTATTCATGAAGGCTAAACCCCCCCCTAAATTAGGCCTAACGACGCCCCTGGTTATCCATATTTTATTTCCATAAATCGCAGCACATTATTCCTGACACCTAAACAGTGTCTGTGCTGAATCATGAATGAAGTACAAAATTGTTTGCGTCAGACTTTCTCCTTTTTGAGCCATTACCAGTTGTTATTCCGTGCAATGAATTGACAAAATACAAATGCGAATTATATGCCTGTCTTATGCATAGAAATATGCCTGTAAGCAGATGACAAATTGCGTGGAATTTCGTCGTCTCTGGTGCTTGCTAATTAATATTTAATAGCTGTAGCAAGCCAGATAGAACGATTGTTCTATAGTATTAGTGGCGCAATGTATAGAGAGAAATGAGAGACGGAGAGAGGGGTAGGGGGCACTCACGAGTTGTGATGTGAGGAGAGCCGACGTCACGGGCTTACTGCTCAAGACGGGCTCTGTAACCTGCATGTAAGGGCAGTTATCGACGATCTTTCTCACATAGGGCACCATCTGCATTCATTGTTGGTCCGAACACCTGGGTGCTGGATACAGCTCCGAGATGTTTTATGTCGGCGTCAGGGTGTGCGCTGCTCCAGCCCTCGTTTCTCTGCTTCTTCTGGGCTTCGCAGTCGCCTCTTCTGATGTGTTTGATACGCATCAAGGCGACATCAGTTACTGCAAAAAGCGATGCCAGATGGCCGCCAAAAACAAAAACACCGCTAAAGTAAGTGGCACTGGAAATCGTTGCGCGATTATAAACGATTTGTGCGACATAATGTCCATATTACAATAACACGACGGATTCGATGTTTAAAAATGTGCCGTCGAGCATGTGATGATGATAATTAGATATCATTTGGCGTCTCTGCACCAAAATGTTTGTGGGGAATTATCTAATTAAGTATGCAAGGTTTAAAATAATATACGTCCAATGAAGCCTTCAAGGAAAGACGGCAACCTATGCAAGGAAGCAACATTTCTGTGCCTAGTGCGATGTAGTTGTATGCAGTTTATTTATTAAATCCATAATTATTAGTTGGTACTTCGCAGTTAGCACATTTTACCTCATCTGCATGTTGTTTACGTTTCGTCTTTGTGTGTGCAGTATTAGTGACGTATTTATTCTACTGCTCATTATAATAAGTAGCCTAAAATGGCATTTTGGCATACCCCATTTTTGCTAAACACGAATTCTGATTACGTGTTAATCATGTTTGTTTGTAATATTTATAGTTTAATTATTTATGCGTTTATTTTAATTGTCGGTTTGAATGAATCAATGAATGTTACGTTGTCAGACTCTTCAGTCCCTAGATCTAGAATAGATTATAATGAGGAGAAACAATGTAACACTGATGACTAATCAATGTACGCCTCACATTCAGCCCTGTTAATTGTTTGGACATTTTAGTTTTCCTTGCACATGTCTGGCTTCTGTCAGTCACCCTTTCATAATGAACGTTAATGAAAAAAATATGTCGCAGAATAAAGCACCAGACCTCAGTTTAAACATGGCGTATGCAAAAAGTGCTTCTGAATTTGTATTTGTGATTTACAAAGCGTTAAAAATACCTAAGCTATCAGTAGCCAAAATGTAAATGGAAAGGTTTTAAAAGTCGGTCCTCGAAGTCTGGAGATGGTTCTGAAATATAGGCCTAATGCAAAATACAAGTCAGAAAGTTAGGTGTGTGAAATGAATGGATGAGGAACATCCATTGATTTAATGACTTCCAGGCTGCACAGAAGCGATTTAAAGCAACGCTTAGATTAGCGCTTTCACGGTAAAAACGTGCCCGAACAGATGTTCGCTGTTTACTCGCGTATAACTATAATTTCCAGTAGCCGTAGTGTTTAAGTAAATTATACCTATTGCCAATGAACAAAAATGAAATTATATCATTGGACTGCCCCGATGTTTGTGCGCGCGCACACGTGCTCGTGTATAAATATTTTATAGTAAGTAAAACAGGATGTAATTATTTCAGATCCTGCGGTTTGAAAGGGTTTTTTTCCCTACCTCCTGAAACGGCTTTGATAGCCATATAACTGTGTTGTTTCTGTGATCCTTCTAATTTTGTTTACCTATACAATGAAACTGAGTTCCGTTTATTCGAGAGCCAAAAGTAAAACTTGAGGTTAAAAAATAGAAAGGATAACACATGGAAAAATGAAGTTTGATGTACAAAAGAACACCGAAACTTGCTGATATTTGATATTTGCTTGATCATATTCATGCCAAGTATTTCGCTTAAAAGCAAGTGATCAATACTTTATTGTTTAGGCATTAAACCAAGCAAAGATATGTTATGTATTAGTATTACATAAGAAACAGTCCACATGCTAGAATGTGTGTTTCTCTGCCTGAAGAACTTCCTACATTGACTAATGTGCTGGTGTAATTTGAAAAACATTTGCTGTCTTTTTATAAGTGATGACAAAATAACAGATTGTTTTCTGTTGAAGTGTTTAGTTTATGGCTGTTTGGGGTCTTTCAGCTGCATATTTCCCTCCGCTTGGATGCGGCGTTCTGTTTGTCCCACGCAGGATGCCGTGCTGAACGCCTGTCACCGTGGCTGCCTGCTTTTCTCAATCTGCCAGTTTGTAAACGGCAATGCGGGATTCAATGCCAGCAAGGAGGAGTGTCATGGAGGTGAGGCAGCAGGGGGCACTGGGGCGGGGGGGTCATTCATTGTAGAGAGATGACGGGTGATTCTGAGATGCTATGATTATATTATGGATGCTGAGTGTATCCATTGGCGACACAGGTAGCTTTTGAACTATGTTGCACATCTCTGGTCTTTTTGCACTACACCTTTGTTACTATTTATTACATTGTTTATTTTTGTTGTTTCTGTTGCTTTCACTACTTTTATCAATGCAGAGCTGATATTTCACTACAGCTTACAGCCAGATTGTGTAGGCCTACTTTGCAAGTGATTAATAAAACATTTGAATCCTCAAACGCTTTATGGGCGTAAACGACTTCTGCGTGTGTGTCACTGCTGAGCGTGGCTGAGCATGAAGGGGCTGTGGGGGTAACGGGGCGCCGCTCTGCACCTGCTGTCTCTGTGAAGCTTGCCGGGAGGCGTACGGTCGGCCGGCCGAGCTGGAGGCATGCGACAGAGGCTGCGGAAGCCAACGCTCGGAGGCGGAGAGCAGGAGGAGGAGGGTGAGTGAGCGCAGTTCCCAGCGGTGGCTTCCAGCCGCGTTACACACCCCGCATCTGTTAGCACAGGCTGCACGCGTGTGTACATGTGTCCTGTGTATGTGCGCGGGGGTCTAATGCCCCCCCCCCAGCTCAGATAGCGGTTATTCCGCGCACATCACATCAATTCACAGCATTTGCGAGGCTCTGGACCCCATCTGTCTCCGCAGCTGAAAGCGCTGGTTCGTCGCTCCCGGCCACGCTCCGTCGTGGACTTGCTGTCCAGCTGGTGCAGTGATGTCATCAGTTCGGCTCAGAGTCTCATCTCCTCCAGCTGGACCCTCTACCTGCGGGTGGATGACGGCAAAGTGGTCACGCTCCAGGTGAGACTTCAGAAGTGCTTGGTGAATGAGGAGTGTGTTGTGGAAATGAGGGAAGGGGGGGGGGGGGGGGGGGGGGGGGAGAAGTGGGGAAGAGGGGAAGAGAGAGAGAATTCCAGTCCTGAACTTCAGCGAAGGGAAAAGAATGCACAATTGTTATTAACTGTTTATCTGAGTGAAAGTCATTATCCAAAAAATCTTAACAAAACACACACACAGAGCCACGATTTAAGAAGCAAAGCTGTAGATGTTGCCGTTCTGCTCTCCTGGGTGATGTAAACGTGTTATAGTCACAGCTGTGGGCCGGGGCGTGTTTTATGTGAGAAGGTGAGCAGATGCTGGGCTGTGGTCAGGGGTCTCCGGCAGAGTGCCGCCCACCTGAGGGGAGTGGTGGGGTCGGGGGTGGGGGGAAAAGAGAGTGTGAGACAGCTGAAAACATCTGTGACTGAAGTATAAATTACAAGGTTTGCAGTCGGGGAAAACGCCGGGGAGAGATTGTGCTGGGCGGGGCTTCAGCCTCGGCCTCTTCACGGGCAACGGGAGAGCGATTAGAAGGTGGCTGAACTTGCTGAGGTGGAACCGCAGGTCACATGTTCCGTGTTTAGAGCAGAACGCAGAGCTCTGTGGCAGAACACAGAGCGGGGGTGTTTTATGGCTGGATGAACAAAACTGCAGAAAAACTTTAACACCACACAGAATCCGTTTCGAGATGCGACTAGTACCATCAGCAGCCGGGGTAAAATAAAAAAATTAAAAAAAAAAAGGTTAGTGTGGCCTTGTTTCCTGGTCGCCTGGACTAACCCTGAGCCCCGCCCTCCCATATTTTTCTGTGTGGTGGGACAGCAGCCCCAGGCTTGCATTTTTCTCATCCCTTGTAGAGCTTATCGAGCTGCTGCCTTCATCTAGCAGTGTTTACGCGTCGACCCGATCCCTCAGAAGCCCTCCACTCATCGCAATCAGGGGGAATCGAGATGCTTTCTGGTCACAGAGGCAGTAAACAGACCCCGATGCCACAATCCCCACTGATTGGTGCAGAGATGCATTTTTTTTTTTCTTAAATTCACATGTGCCGCAGTGAAGCGAGAGCACGGAAAGGAATATCCCAGAACCCAGAAAGGCTGAGTAAGGGAAATCAGATTGTTTCTAATTTAGTCCGCATCCCTCTGACTTTTAAGGCTAATGGGGTTCCTATGGCGATTTCGCCGAATAATGCATGACAGATGTACATCCGCCCGCTCTTACTGATGGCATGGTTCTTCCAGCCTGTTGCCAGCGTGTATCAATTTCTCGCCGGGCCCTCAGATGTTCACTCTCGTCACATCTGGTTTCAATACGCTGGGCAAAAATATACCAACAACGAAACCAAAAGAGTAAAAAGTGAAAAAAAAAAAAATGGTGATAGGTCTGCCCGCAAATTCCTCTCTCTTTTTTCTGGTAAATTGCTCATGCTCTATATTTCATGCAGTATTTAGATATTCGTCATCCGCCCGCCCTGGTCAATTCCTGTACCGCTTGCCATTGATGTCCATACTGTAGCCCCCCCCCCCCGTGTCGGTATTCAACACCAGGCTTCAGTGTGCTTGCTGCCCG